GATAATTTAATACTAAGATACATACGTGTGAATGCGAGGAAGGAAGGCGTCAAGTGAAGTAAGGAGGGATGGATGGATACATGGCGCGTAATAGAGGCCGCCGATCGCACCCGCACCCTCTGAAATTTCAAATTCCCAGCAGCGGCTGGACAAAAACAAAGCAAACAACCACGATCATCCACACCGGTTTGTGTGTGTCCGCTGTTGTTGGAGCTAGAGGTGTTCTATGAAGGATACATAGTCTAGACTACTCATGTCATACATCCGTCGTTGCACGCTACACGAAGCTGCTGTGTTTGACACCACGTGCTTGCTATCTTGGTCTGCCTGTGTCCAGCACCGCTTCGAATGCATGCAATCCCCACCTACTACGCATACAGCACAACAAAAGAAAGACACACCGCCGCAACTACTCCGACCTCACAGGCGGCTGACTCTGTGCCTGACCTGTGTTGTACCAAACAAGTAAAGTAGTTTGCTTGCCTGCAGCGTTTCCTTGCGAACCCGTCGCAATATCTCTTGCGCTTGATGCAGAGCGAGCAGCTTTTCTTCACCGAGCGGTAGACCTTAGACAGGCGGAGGCCAGTCGGGTCCGGTGAACCCGTCCAACTGTTCTTCATGCCACCCGCCTCAACCAATGAATCGATGAAGCCGCTGTGTGGGCGCTGCTGCTGCTGCTGTGGCAGGCAACGTGCGAACGTGCGAACAAGCTCTCGTTGGCTCTTTTTGGTCGGAATGAATAATAGATCCGCTTGCCGCTCCTTTCTTAGCACATTTTTGTCTCGGTGTGTTTCGGCTCAATGCCGGTGACGACCCTTTCGACCCCGAAATGGTTCTTCGGTTGCCTCCTTTTTGTTCATGTACAATTTCCTTCGTCGTTGGTCAGTGTGCTGTCCGCTGCTATGCTGCTATATACAATTGTATATATCTTCACCACTTCAAATCAGCGCTCAACCCGTGGTCACACAGAAGAGCCCCTCTCTATACCCTCCCCTCCTGCGGTGCTTTGCCTTCGATTTTTAATGCGTGAAGAGTTCAGCCTTCTCCTCCGTCTGTGTACGCACGAACTAGCGCTATCCGCTAGACCAGGCCAGGAGCGGAAGCGAGAGAAAAACTCAATTTGTAAGAAAAGCGCGCTTACGCCGGGATCTGAACCCCTGACCTGACCGCTACAAGGTTTCGAGGTTACCAACTAGATAGACCACCGGGGCGACCGGTATGGTTCTGCGGGATAGTTGGTTGCATAATGAAACTGCCGCTGTTGTTGCTGACGAAACACGCAAACATCAATTCACATACATCGATCGCAGTTTAAGTAAGTACACTGGGCATTTGGACGCCCCTCCGCACCAAGAACAAGGGAAGACGGGAGAGAAAGGGGATTCATGCTCGCTCAGGAGACATCATCAGTGTAGGGCAATTTCTGCAACTAATATTATACCCCCAGACTTCCGCCAAAATCCATATATTTGATGCTGCAAGTATTTGTTCTCATCGTTCGGGTCGATGGACCAGGGGGTGGGTGGACTTCAGATTGTTGTTTGACGGGTCTGGGGTCTAGGGGGCCTGTCCGTTGTTGTTGCCGTTGCTGTGGCACACACACACGCGGCGGGTTCGCCAGCCAGGGCTCTCATTTCTTTCGACACACAATGTTCACGATGACTGGGTATTCCGAACCTGTCCTCTCCTCTCGCGGGTATTTTTCTGGATACACAGCTTACCAGACCCGCAATAACATCTTGTACATGGCTTGTGTACCCTTTTCTTGCTAATAGTGTAGATGTTCTCTAGATCTTCTGATGGCTCTATAATAGAATTTCTGTGAACACGGACCGAGTCTTAGCTTGATTTTGGCATTAGCAACTGACACGAGTTTAATGTGAAGAAAACAACAACAACAACAACAACAACAACATTCGGTCACTGGTCACATATATCAACAGCAACCAACAACCACTACTCTGCCGATGTCTGATGAGGAAATGAATGAATGTCTTCGAAGTTGAAAATGAATGCTTCGAGCCATGCGGACCCCACCTCAACATATCCCAACGGTCACGGGTCGGGCGTGCATCTTTTCTTTTTTTTTCGTCACTTGAAATCAGCCCTCACGGCATTTGTGCCGTTTACTCCAACCCGTGGTCACGCATCTACCCGAGCTGGTAACCGCCGCTTGGCGGGCGGCAGGTTGATTTTCCTTTTTCCCGCCGGAGGTTCCAGGGTGATGCCACTGATCGACAAAACGAAAGGAGGTGCATGATGATGATGATATCAATCAGGTGCGCAGAAGAAGCCCTTCATCCGCGGTGACGATTCTTCTCGGCAGTCGAGGCCTAGCTACTGAGAGGCTTTGGTGTTGATGTTCGAAATTGGGAAAATGAGGGGTTGCCGCTGGAAGGCCACACGGCGAATTAGAAAATCCGTTGTGGAAAATACAGGTAGGTACGTCTTGGCCGTTGTACTTGCACATCTCCCAACCATTTAATAATCGCCACGGCGAAATACCCCGCTGGTGGGGTAATTTCTTAACCACCCCAACGGGGGGGCGGTTGACGCTTAGACACCCCACCACCTGTAGCTCGCGCTGCCAGACTTCAATCAGCACAGGACTTGGGCGAACGTGTTGCGGCGTTGCAGGGCTATCATTGGACCCATCATGAGGCCGAAACGGCACAGTTGTGGTGGTGCCACGGTTGGTGGGGAACATGCACCGCTACCTCACTACTTCATGGGTCCCACGTGTGTCAGGAATTTTGACACGAGACCAGAATTTCGATACGGGACCTCAGAATTTTGACACGAGAGGTTGTTGTTGTTGTTGTTGTTGACTTCACATTAAACCGTATGCCAGTTGCTAAATGCCAAAATCTAGCAAAGACTCTCGGCCCGTGGTCACGAAAGTGCTAGAGCCATCTGAGGATCTAAAGAACACGCACACGTAGCAAGAAAAAGGTGTACAAGAGCCCGAAGAGGTACTACTACACATAGTCTATATATAATCCCTGCAGCACCGTACGCGTGCCCAAAACTGAACTACACGTCCGTCTCACCGTTCGACTACAGCAACATCACCCCCTACCTGTCCCACTCTGTACCAAAACGAATGATTGCCGACTACAGCATACTTGCTGTCTGAAGTGCTGTCTGTACAAAAACACCATGGTAGGCATGGAACAAGAAGCTGGCGGGGCACAAAGCTGCTGTCTGAAGTGCTGTCAGAATGTGTCTGCGGCCGTACAGTGAAAAAGAACAACCAACCAAAGCCATGATTGCAATGGACAATCACCCGAACCTCTCCCGATCGTCTGTGTTAGGCACGCAGTGAAAATATCGACAATAGCTAAGAATCGTTCCACATTGAAGGGGTCTTCCACGATCAGGCACATAACCAAGGCACCCGGGTTAGCCACGCCATCTCTGACGGGTCTCTCTACAAAACCAGTGACGACGTCATCACATAGAACCAACACCGAAAATCAGGAAAAAAACGAGAAAAATTGACAACACAGATCAGATATAAATGTTTGTCCGTGCGCCACGGGTCGATGTCGCCCGCATGCTCCGGTGCCGCTGCTCCGTCCGGCGCCGCTGTAGTCAGCCCGAGCATAACGCCACTCGACCTGCTCCGTCCGTACACGCTCTCGTTGCTGTCCTTCCCAGTCGGTTCCTCGCTTTCTCCCTCGTTGCACTCAAGGTTCTTGGTCTGAAAAATAAAAATTCTCGCGCCGAAGGGGTCAACCAGCCCAGTTCAGCTCGTCGCCACCTGCTCCCTCCTCCTTTGATGGCGAAGCCAGGTTACTGAGGCAATGCAGCGCCCTCTAGCCAACCTAGGGCCGTGTACATAGTTCCCGTCCACCTTCTGACGGTGTCTGCCTCCGCGCACAAAAAATGAGATGGGCATCGCTGCCTACGCCGACGGCCAGAGGCCCGCGCATCTACATTTTTTCGCCTGACCCCATCAGTGCCGACCCAACTACACCACCACGCGCATGCCTCGCGGCGGATATGCGCAGCAGCAAGAAGGTTTCGGTCATCCCTTGAGGGTGAGTCTAGCCCTGCTCGCCAGAAAGACCCCCCCCTTCACTACAACCCATGTCTAAGCAAAAGCTTGTCGAGGAGCGAGGGGAAGAAGGGAGAGTTACGCCGCATTTTTTCATGTCAGAATTACAGGTCAAAATGTTTCGAAAACCAAAATATTTTCACCTGAGGTATTTTGGACTGAGATAGAGACAAATTGCCACGAGCGCCATCGCACACACACGAAGGCATCAACTCAGTCGGCAAGCTCGCATGCAGCTGCCCGCACACCCACACACGTGAACACAACGCTCCCGGGAGTACATCGCGTTATGGGAACGTCAAGCCGCGGTGAGGATCGTGTGCGTTCATCGCGGGATCGAGAACAGAACACGCCGAGGTTGGTCTGTCTGGACTCTGGACTCGAAGCACACGGGAGATAACCACAACAGCAGCTATTCGGGTGCCCCGCCCGTGATGGGAGAGGTTACAGCAGTGGTTGGTGGAAGAGACGGTAGCTCTGGGCGCACGTACTAGGGGCGCGAAGCCGCTGGCGGCGGTTGGGATTCGGGGAGTGTAGTTCGCGTAGTGTATACACAGGAGTTGATAGGAAACATGTCGCAGGAGAGCTCAGACTCCCTCTCGTTGACTCCCGGGAAGGCGC